TATATATATAGGTGTCAAGGAATATGTATCACACTTATGTCACTGGCAATGTGTATTCATTGCTTCTCAATGGTACATGCCACATGATTTTGAATCACTATGTTGCTTTGTATATAATTTCTGAATTTCTAAGTACCTAGATTCAGGTGTGTATTGACGTTGCGAAATCGAATAAAGAGGAATACAAGTATAGACAGTATTCAAAATCCTCACCCGTAGCTGTCGCATGCACACAGCATTGGCAGTGCTAAACATAACAAACAATTGTAAACCAGTTGTACACACAACTGTAAGTGGTAGATGCATAGTTCAATGGTGCATTCAGTGCCCACCTCCTGCATTAATTCACCTGGCCACATGTGCTCACGGTTAACACACAGGTGCATGACGTACAACATGTCAACTACAGATAACGTCTCAACTGTGGACGATATCTGAGCAACACCATACGTGGTATAGATGCCAAAATCTTTTGGTAAGGATGCTCAGCCTGATCAAAACGTATCATGCATATCAAGATGAATAGATGAAGTTCGAAGTACACTGAGGGGATATATGGTCACATGTAGTAAAACTAGACGTCGCAAGATCGTCGAGCACACAAGTTTGTCAAAAGCGTAGAACCATAGCCCCCTAAACCCTAAAACCCTACAAAGATTTAAATAAATAATCGCCTTCATCATGACTCGTTTTGAACGAAGTATTCACAGTTCATGTACATATATTTAGTTTAAAATTTCATAGTTATAATAAGCAATTGGTATTTTCTTGAGTGAACTACACATAACATATATAACACTAGTACTGGCCAAGAAGTGTTAGGCTGGTTCTCAGCTATTCACGACTGGCTGAGAAGCGCTAGACCTGCTATCAGCTAGTCACGATCTGATATAGTAGATGTTATGTATGTACATGCACACAGGGTCGTACTTGCAAAAATAGTATCACAAACTGCACTTGTATTGTATGCACATCATACAAGCACACACACATAGTCACTTGGCTTCGAATTGTATTGTACACACTTCAGTGTACGTACAGGGGAAGCAACATCTTAAATTTTAATTGAACTATGTCTGAGCCAAATCAATCATTACTGAACACTCGGCCCACAGCCTGGAGCGGTGTGCGTCCGTTGCTTCTTACTAAGAAGAATGCATCAGACACTTCTCTTAGTAGAAACACACATACGAAAGCTACTTCACTAGCAGAGAACACCCATATTGATCACTTACCTAAACGCGGGGATAGAGCTGCGACCGCGGATCCGCGCTCGAATGTAGAGGGAGACACTGAACTAGATAGCGTGGTACTCTATGTAGACGACGAAGCATCGGCAAAGGAAGCGTGTGTGCTCATAGAGGAGGCGTCGATCTTAGCGTACGATGCCGAGTATGTAGTGATAAGAAGCACACCTGCCGTGACACCCGCAACAGCGGCTGGGGTAGGGGGCAACGGTGTTGTTGAAGCCATGACAACTGGAAAGGCGAGAGATGGCGATGATACACGGGACAAGGCAATGCATACCCGTGTAAATGCCACAGACGGTACTGACACGCCCGAAACGACGGCAGCTAATATGGTGGCTTCTAAAGTGACATATATAGCTTCATCGAATGCTGATGGTGTTTCCAACAGACGCCATGTCATAGGAGATGCAGCTGCGGCCGGGGTGGCGTTGAGTACGGGAGGGTGTACAGACACCTGTGACAACTGCCCTAGCAGCAAGCCAGCGACATTGCAGATAGCTGCGTGGAACGGCGCACACGCACGCATGCACCTGGTGGTCATAGACATGCTCACCTACTCGCTCGCAATAGAGGACGGGCATGCCAATACATTGACCGTACAGACGGATGCAGATGGTGAGTGTGAGAGTGGTATCGATGACAGGCGATTGAACAACTCTGCGCTGAGTGAAGACGCACTCGCTGCAGACGAGGCCGTCGCTGTTGAACACAACAAAGCATACGGCACTGTTTGTGCACATGACACAGACAAGACCCGCCAGACAACCAACCCGCGTAGCAGAGGAGGTGGTGCTGGTAGTGAAGCCAGTGGAGAACGTAGGGGAAGTATTACACACGGCGGCGAGACCGTTCAAAGGTTGGCCGCGGTTTTGCGGAGGAAACATATGGACACCTCTGTGCTGAAGCTGGGATTCTCGTTCGGGCAGGTGTGTGGGTATAATGTCGTGAATAACTGTCGGAAGTCTTTTTTTGTGAGCTGAAGGTTTACTTTAAGTGGACAACAGGATCATTCCTAAGGAACTTCACACTGGGCGTGATATTACCATAATATATATATA